GTCAGTCAGTCAGTAACAACGTAGAACTTCGTACGTACGTACATCAGTTCGAGTTGCCACACCACATTAGCACAGAGATGCACTTGTCGATTCAAATCCCGTAGTTGTAGAGGTAGCAAGAATATAAGCAGTAATCGGGAAGATTAGGGTTTGTAGATGTTATTTAAAGAGTATAATCCAGTGAAATAAATTTGGAAAGAGGAAAAAAGGGACATGAAGAATTCAGAAGATTAGAATTTGGGAGAGCACAGAGAGTGGATGCACCTGCGCCATTGCTAACGATTTTGAGCCATGTCATTCAGGGTCTCTAACCATCGGTTGCTGTCATCTCGCGGTCCCCAACCAGGTAGTCTACACCTATGAACATGACTCAGTTCACTTGTCAGTGACTTCATGGACTTGTGCTATGTTTTGGTTTGGCCGCCCCTAGCTTTCTTCCAACCTACTCCTATACCACTGAACATAGCACGTCGAGGCAGTCGGTCGTTGGGCATACGTAACACGTGTCCCAGCCATCTCAACTGATGAAGTTTCACTACATCATCAATTGATTTGCCATCCTTACCTAGTACCCGTTTCCTAACAACTGCGTAACTTACTCGATGGTCGCGGGATATACGAGTAATGTTTCGAAGACACCTATGATCAAATACTAGTAGCCTACGGATATCCTCTACTCTTACCGGCCATGTTTCACTGCCATAGAGTAGGACGGAACGAACTGCTGCGCAGTAAACGCGTCCTTTGGTTGATAGACGGATATCTCGCCTACGCCATAAATGACGCGAGTTGGCAAAAGCTAGTCGAGCCTTCTGTATCCGTGCTGAGATTTCGTCACACACTAAACCACAAGGGCTGATGAGACTTCCAAGATAAGTGAAGCGGTCGACACACTCAACTACTTTACTCCCTATCACTAGTTCGGGTGTCGATGTAACCCAATCCTGAAGCAACATTTTGCATTTCGAGGGAGAGAATCGCATCCCGAACATGCTTGCATTGTTGCTTATAGTGGTCAGAAGACTCTGCATTTTGTCAGCGTCTTCACCAAATAAAACTATGTCATCTGCATATTCTAAGTCAACAAGTGAACTTCCTGGTAGAAGTTCAACCCCTGTAAATTTAGATGAGGAGAGTGTTATCTCTAAAAGTACGTCAATGACAAAGTTGAACAAGAATGGGGAGAGTGGACAGCCCTGACGAACACCACTTGGGGTGATCAATTCTGATGACAGTTCGCCATAAGCTCTCACTCTACCAGTTGTGTTCGAGTAGAGAGCCTTTATAAGGTTAATGTACTTCTTTGGTACTCCTTTCAGTGACAAACACTGCCATAGAACCTCACGATCAATAGAGTCGAATGCCGCCTTGAGGTCGAGAAATACTACCATTATGGGGCGCCTGAATGTGTGTCTGTGTTCTAGAACCTGACGTAGTGTGAATATGTGGTCTATACAACCACGTCCAGGTCGAAAACCAGCCTGGTTTTCTCTAGTCTGCTCTTCACGAGCTTTAGTTAGGCGTCGAAGTATTATTGAGGCTAATATTTTAGACACTATATTAGTCAAACTGATTCCTCCGTGATTGTCACAAGAGGACTTTTGTCCTTTCTTAAAAACTGGCACAATCAGTGATTGAGACCAGTCAGATGGGATTACGTCCAGTTCCCAAATTCTACCTAAGACCTCAGTTAATCTCACTGCTAATACTGGACCACCATCCCTAAAAATCTCAGGAGTAAACCTGTCAGGGCCTGCTGCTCTCCCTCGTTTCAGATTTCCAATGGCTTTTTCAACTTCGTAAAGGGACGGAGGACTTACATTAACTTGCCATTCAGGTTGACTGGAGATCGTGGGAAACCGAAGTGTGGCTGAAGGCCAGTTGAACTGATCCCTAAAATGTTCTGCCCATCGATCCAATCTCCTGGATTGAGAATGAATAATATGTCTGTAGGAAGCAATTTCCTACAGATTCAACTCTAAGCTAATCTCTAGACTGTCGAGTACAGAGTCTTGGTTTAGCCAAAGTCAGAACAAGTAAGCTATTTGGCTATATAAACTTTATCTGTTTCTAAAACATAAATTAACATCGTTAGCGTACAAACAAACAGTACGGTCTATTAATACAGAGAAAAACAGAGACAAATAACATACCGAACAGTAGCTAGAGAATAGGAAAAATGAGTCAACAAGCCAAATTGTTTTACAATGAACATTAAACTGTGATTGGTTGATAAAGAGATACAGTCGTACAAGGTCAAAAGGAGTTGATGTGGTGGTGGGCGTTTCCCTTATTATTGGTGGGTTCGTCTATCAATCACATTTTACAATGTCCATCTTTCTCTGAGATTGTTTCGCTAACGGTCGGGTTCCTAATTCCGGTTTCCTTAACGAGTCTAAACAGTTGTCTGCTATTACCTATTGCCTCTGTCTTTTCCATCTCTCTTGCTTTCGCTACCCACCACTGTTCACGATCATTGCGTAGGCTTCTTGTCAGCTTGCGCTTAAGCTGACTCCGCTCTTCACTATGTTCAGAGTCAGGTGGAATGTGTTTCCGAGCATTTATCAGTGAGATAGATGCTGCTGAGATCCAGTGTTGCTCCCTAACCTTCTGGTTTACCTTACTAGCAGATATCACTGCTGTTTCCACAGCTTTTCGGATATCATTCCATGCTGCATCGGGGTGGGCATCACATACATGGCTGCCTAACTGTTTTCCTAGTTGTTCCTGAAATATACTCTTAGCTTGACTATCATTAAGTAGGGCCCTAAGAGGTTTCCTTGCAGGATCTTTCCTACGTCCAGTAAGACGCAAGCAAATACGCGCTCGCACTAGAGCATGATCTGAATCTAGGCATGTGCTCCAGAATGAGCGACAGTTTTCTATCGAGCCCCTCCATCGGTGGCTGATAGCGATGTGATCTATTTGGGTCCAACGTTGGGACGAATTAGGGGGTCGCCATGTTAAAAGATGTTTTTCCTTATGCCTAAAGTTAGTATTTGCTAGGAACAGGCGGTTATCTGAGCATAGATGCAACAGACGGTCGCCATTATCTGTTCTTTGAGCCACGACACCATAGGATCCACCTAGGTGTCTTTCCTTATCGCTTAGTTTACCTACTTGAGCATTAAAGTCACCGGCCACTATTACTACATCCGAGCGCTTAGCTTTTCGGAGAAGGTCGGAAAGCTTTCTGTAAAACTCATCTTTTACATCATCTGAGCTGCAGTCAGTGGGAGAATAGGTAGAGACGACGAAGAGGCAACGACGAGTGTCCCTATCTTTCCGGATTCTTACTGTTCCGTTCAGTCGGACAGCGCACAAACGACCGTTCACTGGGATCCACTCTAAGAGAGCTAGTTCTGCCCTAGGACTCAATGCTATACCTACGCCGGCGAGGCCACGGGAAGCAGAATCAGGGCTTCCAGATACACGAAGCGTAAATCGAGTCGGTTCTTTATTTTGGCATGGTGAGGTCAAATGAATGACGCTACTTGGATCCTGTATGCGCGTTTCGGAGACGCAGCACACATCGATGGCGCGAGATTCTAAAGTTTTAGCTAAGGAAGCCTGCTGTCCTATTTGGCAAAGTGTTCGTACGTTAAAAGCTCCTACGTGTAGTTTAGAGCATGGTTTCAGGAGACCAGGAATGGCGTTCCACGTACTCGAATCGTTTGCCCTAGCGGTGCGAGGTGATAAAGAGACGTGAGGAGGGTTAGTCGGGAGGATAAGAGAGGTATTAGGAGGTGTAGGAAGGATTTGAATGTGACCACCTTGGTCTCTTGTGCTGTTACGGGTATGAGGGCTGATATCACTTCCCGGCTGCCCACACCGTGGAAGGGTATTTCTTGAGGAACCTGAAAAGGAAATTGGATTAGTGTTGGTCTTGACGACCTGGGAGCGTGACCGCAGAGCCCAAGGGACAACTGCTTGAGGCCGGTCGCGCACGGCCTTTTTGTGGAAGGTTTTTGACGTGTTAGCTCCGTTCTTCAAGGGGCCTTACCGCCGGAGACGGAAATCCGTGGGGTAAGGTGAGGTGTGCATTTTTAGGGTCGACCATTTCTAACCCTACCCTACCCCTCCTTGTGGGAAGGCAGCATCGCTGTCATGCTGGTTGTCCGAGGGAAACACCTTACTGCTGTCACACCTCTGTACAGTCAGCAGTACGACTTCGCCCTCAGACCTTGAGTTGCTGCTTTTAGTCTTACCGTTCGCCAATCGACCTGCCTGGCATGGTAGAACCTGCAGGAACATATGTTCCAGCCAATATAGCTCGGTTGGGTCATCAAGATAGGCAAGCCCGACCACCGCGTCAAGGTAGCAGCTTCGATCTGTCTGTCTATATAACATACACCACAAAAGTACTTCACTAGTTTCGAATACAGGTCTCAGATAGATCACATACATCGATTTTGAATCGACGCCCTGAGTGAGGCTACAATAGTGGTTGGTTAAACGTTTTCACCGTAATTTACCATATATTATGTCCTTTTCTTTTTCTAAGTTATCAATAAAGTTAAGTGTCATTACAAAACCCAAATTTTATGTTATAGGGTATGATTCTGTTTTCTCATAAGGTGATGTTCAATGACAAATCATTGAGGGATCTCACATAAATAGAGCTGTCTACTCTTTACCTGTACTAATTATCAAGTTGAGAGGTTTTTACTTTATGGAATACTGTATGAAACGAGTATATCAGATACTTCATTGCGTCTTCCAGTATATGTAGAAATATATATTTACAAACTGATAGAGTTATAAATAGTGTTATTCGTGTAGTTTTTAAGTACATTTGCGGTTTGTTTACAATATTCCCGTCATTTTTCCACGACAAATTGTCTAACTTTTTGTTAGCGTTTTTTCTATGTACTTATTCTTTTACCAGTTACACTGAAACATTGTCTTTTTTACACTAAATATGGGAAATTTCTCCTCAATGTGTCCCGAACGTCTTAATCATTAAATAATTTCTTTCTACTTATTGCGTTATTATTTAGATATAAATCCTGATGAAATCCCAACCTTTGAAACAAATGTAAATAATTTCTGTGGAGAAAGTAATTCTGAACAAAGTAATAATCAATCAGACGAATCAGGTGAAGAACAATATTCAAAAAAACGACTTCGTAAACGTTTATTGAGACGAAAAGAACCCTGCGTTGTCAATCAAACAAATGGAGAAACTCAACTGAATGCGAATAATGATTTGTCTTCAGGTAAGTTTTTAGCATACACAATTTAAGTAGTCCTTTAATCATTTTAATTTCAAAATAAGATTCTTTTTATCAATCAATTGATAATACATAACGAATGACTATAATCTTTTTTTTAAAAAAAACTAGTTAACATTTTTATGCACTTTCCAAATGAAATCCGTACTATGGGAGATAACAAAAATATCGTTAAATCACCATTCCTGCAGAGTATGAAATTTTGTCAACAGTGATCACTCTGAATGCGTACAATCTTTAAGTTCTGTTCTGTGTAGAATTAATCAGCTTGATCTATCATGTCCATGTTTTATTTGTTATTTAAAAAGGAAGGCAATAACCTAAGATTCATTGTTGTTTTCAATCTTGTTTAAACTACTTTAGATGTCATGTATGATAGTGTATGTTGTCTTTAAATATTTGGCATTAGTATTTTGTTGAAATATGGCTTAACGCACGTGTATGTTTTCTTAGGGGTGAGGCTGTCAATATAATTTTATAAAATCGAAAATAAAATTTGAGTTTATCAAAGAAGTAAAGAATAAATCCCTATTTTAAAATGGGAATATTTCAGATCAAAATAAATCCAGGGTCGTTTTTTCCAAATTCACTAATTTAGATTTTTTCTTTGAGTTCTGTACTTGATGCCTAATCTTTTCTGTTACCACTAATACTTTTGCCATTTCTACTACTCTAGGATCTGCTCTAACAACATGTTGCTGTGCTAATATCGTAATGCAACTTAAACTGATTTAAATATATGTCAGGATCTAAGTTACGTTTGACTGACTGACGAGTTTAGTATTGATAACATTTTCATCAATTGAGTTCATTTGGAATCGGACTCATACAAGCAACAAACCTGATGTATTTCTAACAAAATATTTTACCATGAAAAAGCAGACCTACAGATTTTTTTCTCCTTGAAACTGATAGAAAATACAGTAGTCTTACATTTCCTTTCAGTTGATAATGACCATCAACGAAATTCATAACATGTATTTCGTCCTACCTTAAACTTAGATCAACTTGAACTTTGGTGATTTATATTGTTCATTCTAAGGTTCAAAATCACCGTACACCTCTTTAGATATTTTTTTATTGACTAGGTTGCAGTGAGTTACGTTAAACTTCTCTTATTTAACCAATATACGCCATTATTGTTGTATTTACTTTCTATACTATTATTATTATTACCTGCTTAATATCTTGTTTGCGAATAGCTTTTACACATAATTGGGCTTGTAACAGTTTGGTATTTCGTTATTCAAATACATTATCTTCCAATTTTTATCTACTTCTCTTTAATCTGATGTAAATTTAACTTCTTAAATACTTATTTAATTTTTTATACTAATCCATTTTTAAAAAAAGGCTTGTCTGTGAATTCGTGTCTACTTTTATATGGCTAATTTTGTTGGTTGTATTAATTTATTATTAATTACAGACGTCGTCATAGTTGATGAACCATATATTAGTCGAAAAAAACTCAAACAACAGAAAGATGAAGCAACACTTAAATGTACAGAAATTAAACCTGTCAAAAGTAATGATGGATGGACTAAAGTAGAACAACAACAGCTGGAGGTCGCTATACGCTCTATTGGTAAAGGGACACCTGAGCGGTGGGATCGGATCACAGAATGTATCCCAACAAGAACAAAGGTATATTACTGTATTTGACTTTTGACTTTTCAACCAGTATTAACATTTTCAGCGTTTCAAAGAATAAGGTTTTAAAGGCTGTTCCAAAAGTCCTTCAAAATTTATTCTCAGCTATTTATCAGTACATCTACTATATGGGGTAGTTCAATAGCACTGGTATTCCGTTATCAGTACAAAACGTTTTTTGGGGAATTGGGTCAGTTTATTCATTTATTTAAACATAAGTACAAGAAGACACTAAATATATATGCGCCACACTTCGTCATTCGATTTGTGAGTGCTTGGATACTTCCTCGGTGTCCAAATTGAAAGGGGTGGTTTTCTTTGGGGCCACTTCCTGAGCCTTTGACCTAGAGGTTTGATCCACATGGCAGTGCAGCAAAGTTAGGAGATGCAGTCCCATGGTAACCGGTGACCAACAATAGGTTCGTGCACCATTTTTCCCTCAGGATCCTGGAGCCCATGTGCATCATTGGTTTGGAATCAGGGTTTTCCATCTCCACTAGGTGGACTCTCTATATCCACCACCCCATTTAAAACGCCGGACATTCACATTTCGTCCTCTCGATTTCGAAACCATCACCATCGCGAAAGTGAGTAGGACTCCCCTGGCAGTGTCAGGGAATAGAGCATTTCGAAAGGGAGAGTGGATTCTCCCCACCCTCGGTCGTTTCAGAGCGTTTGGGGAACGATGATCACTAAACAAACTTTGAAAACGCAAAAGCAAGTGGAAGATTAGTTTAGGTACTGAGAAATATCATAAATGTGCCGTAAATTCCGTCAGGATGTCAGAAACGACAAATAAACTGAACTTCAACCTACTTTAATAGAAATAAATTTCACTCAGTTTTTTTTTCAGTGCTTCTCAGTAGTGGCGATTCACTTCCTCTTTTCGTTAACTTTAAGGATTTGACATATTAATCGGGGATTTTTCTTTGTATGTTCCCGAAAACACCATCGTATATGATAAAGTATAAATACTGCAACCACTTATTAAAATGATTAACCTAATATAAACATACCTATTTATAGATTATTTGATTTGCTCACTTCAATCTTAAAATCAATTCTAGCGTCTCTCATTTACTTAATGGCCGAAATACTTAATCAGAATAGATTATGTAATTCTTAATCTCTAAAGTATTATTTACTGTTTAAAAATTAATGTATTAACTTAACAAAATTAAACTTTAATGGATGTTTTACTCATTGAATTCAATAATGGCAAGCATAAACTGTGCAAATCTGTGAGAAAGATTAATATATCCAAAGAATTTATTGATTCCACGACACTTTAACGTTGACTTACCAAATTTTTAGTTTTAATGCTACAGTACAGTAGTTGGATTTTTTTATTTACGAAAAATGTGTACATGAATTTGTTAGTTGCTTTATAAAAGGTTCCCTGACCAATTTGTAATGAGATAAAACTATGTTAATGCTAGTAGTGTTGCATGCCTTCACATGTGTGTACATTTACAAACTTAATAACTATTTTAAACCTGACTAGTTTGACAATAGGATACAAGGTTGAGATTTAATGACTATTTAAAATATGTGACAGTTATAGCTTTATAATATTTATTTCTCGTTTTTATCAAGGTCAAGAATTGTTGAATAAATTTCGAAACATGCCTGTAGGACAAAATATATTTAATGGGACCTGCACTAAATTTTTATCGTAAACTTATTTTACATTCTATCGTACTTAGAAGTAACTACTTAAACCTGTTATCCCCCATGGGGTATTGACTACCTACCACGATCATCCAATGAACTCTATCATGGGCTCTCATTTCCAGTCGTTCCCAAGTGCTACTCATAATCTTGATGTCTGCCTTTTTTTCTTTTTCTCTCGTTGTTGCGATGTTTGGTGATTTATGCAATGCTCATCCTATCTATCTCCAGCAGAAAGCTGGTTCGTTCCCTGCCACAGTCCATTGTTCCTGATGGTCTGGCCACAGGTCCGGGGTATCTTATGTAGACACCTGTGTATAAATATCTATAATTTTCTGACGATGTTTGTTGTAGTTCTCCAAGTTTCAGCTCCGTACAACATAACTTTTATCGTTGATGTTGAAAATACTGACTGAGATTTTAAGTGATATTCTTCAACTGTAGGAATGGTACTCTTGATTTGAGAATCTGTGCCGTCATATTTGCATTAGATTTTCGTTGTTTATCAATAATACCCAAATGTGTACCAGCTTCCACCTCTTTCGGAGCTTCCTCATCAAATGTGATTTGGTTGGGGCTCTGTGTTGTATTTCAAAATCCTGCTGTTTCCTTTGTTAATATTGAGACCTACTGTTGTTACACTGGCTGTTTTCATCTGCGTTTTTTTATTGTATATGAGATAGAAGGGTTAAATCATTTAGAATATCCGAGTCGTATAGCTGCATCCAATTTTTCCACTGTGCTTCATCCTTCTCCTGAGATGGAAAGGTCTTCATAATCCAGTCAACAACCAGGATAGAGAAAAGATGAGAGTAGACGGGTTTCTCTGAGACTAGTTTCCACTTGAAACATTTCCATCAGCTGCGATACAGTCCGTCGTAGGAGTTCCGTTTAATGATGACGATCTGTTTAAGTATTCCATGGAATTGAAGAAGGTCCCACAAGTTTCTCTCATCCATGTTGTCGAATACTCTCATAATCAAGGAGGTTGATGTATAGCAATGTATAGCGACTTCGTCGGCACGTGATCTACCATTACGAAATTCAACCTGTTGATTTCGAGGTTGGGCGTCTACTGAATCTTTCATTCGGTTGAGAAAATCTGTTGGAAACTGTCTGGCATTAACAGTAGTATGATGCCTCTGTAGGTCTCCGTCCTTTCCTATCTTGATGACGTATCCTTCTCTCCAAACTGCTAATAGTTGATTTACCTACCAAATCTTTCTTAAGATATCGTGGAGCAGTTACCCGTATATCTGACTTCAGTACTTCAGGTATTTTGCCGTCTGGTTCTTCTAGTTTAACATTCTTGATTTGTCTGATTCCCCTGTTGATTTCTCCAGTTGTTGTTGGGGTAACATCTGTAGGGAGGTCTGTGTGTACTACTGTAATATCCGGTGAATTCACTGGAGCTAGTCTATTAAACAGCTCAATGTTCTACCCACCCATTCCGCTGCTCTTGAATCTCAGTGATTGGTTTGCCTTCCTTGCTCTTGTCAGGTCTCTGATTCACAAAACTTACCTCGACCACTATATCTGTGTGCTAATGTGGTGTGGCAACTCGAACTGATGTACGTACGTACGAAGTTCTACGTTGTTACTGGCTGACTGACTCACAAAACTTACCTTCAAGCCTTATCGTGCCATATGGTTCTCTCATATTTCATCCTCTTGCAGCTTTGCCGTCGCTACTAGGTTTTCTACATATTTCCGCTTGCCAACTCCAATTCTCTTTTTCATTTGTTTTTTTACTTCTGTATATCGGGTCTGTCTCAACTTCTCCGCTCTTTTTCGGATGTTACTAGCTGCTCTTTTTTTCTTATCGTTAATTTTTTCCCAGGTTATCGATAGATTCCACTCCTTATTCTGGTGCCTTTGTGGCTTAGCACCCTCGCATGTTGAAGTTATTGCTTCTTTGGTCCTTTCCCAGTGTTTCTCTTCGCCACTATCTGGTGGTGATCTAATGCTGTATCAGCTCCTCACTTTGTAGATCTCTCATGAACTTTCGACACCTTTTATGCAAATTTGATCGATCTGGTCCTCTATGGTGCGTTTGTAGGGAATAATAGCACCACCTATAACCACTCTGTTGAAAGCACATAGATTTGTCAGTCTCACAATTCTCGTTTCCGTTTTCCAGCCCGACCTTGGTATTCATTTCCTCCGTCTTGATGGTCAGGTTTTTTACTGGGCATTTCTCTATGATATACTTGTGCCTCAAAACTAGTCTTAAACATCTTGATCCCCATCAATGGTGGGTGCGTGGCATTGGATGACATTCATTCCAATCTTTTCTTTATTTTGAAGACCCGGCTGTTGCTGCTACCTTAACGTGGTGACCGGGCTTGCTTATCGTGATGAACCCATCGAGCTATACTGGCTGGGAACATCGTTCCTCAAGGTCCTACCATGCCAAACAGGTCGGTTGAAGGGCGGTAAGATCAAAGGCAGCAAACCCAAGGTCCGAAGGCGAAGCCGTACTGCTGACTGTAAAGAGGTGTGACAGCAGTAAGCTGTTTCCATCAGACAACCAGCATGACAGCGATGTTGCCTTCCCACAAGGAGGGGTGTGGTTAGGAAAGGTCGACCCTAAAAATGCACACCTCGCCTTATCTAACGGATATCCGTCTCCGGTGGTAAGGTCTCAACATGTACGGAGCTAACACAAAAATTACTCATAAAAAGGTCCTGTGTGGCCGACGTCAAGCAGTTGTCCCTTGGGCACTGCGGCCATGCTCTCAGGTCACTAGGACCACCCCTAACCCAATCTCCTTTTTAAGTACCTCCAGGAGAACACTTCCACGTAGTGGGCGACCGGGGAATGATAACCGCTTTGATACCTCCAACAGCACTCAAGATCACTGTATTCATAATCAACTTCCCTCTTCAATTCCTATTATTCTTCCTACATTGACTTTCAACACTAAACTTCCTCTTTTGACTTCCCTCCAAGTGTTACCATAGCCAACGATTCTAGTGCGCAAAGCACTGTCCCAGGTCTACTGAAACCTCTCTCCAGACTACACATTGGAGTCTTCAACATGCACACTCTCTGTTAAATCGACCAGCAGACCTCCTTGTCTAGAACCCTAGGATCTCGTACTATTGATGAAGAGCGTAAATTAATGAAATCTAGGTTAACCAAAAGCTTGAGGAACAACTGTGAACACTGGTGTGCAACGAAAGCAAAAGAAACACAGAAGGCAGCTGTAATACAAAAGAACTTTTCAGACTCGGAAAAAGACGACATTTTAAAGAGTAGATCAGCTGGCCTTCAGCAATTCTACAACTACCCACCAATCCAAGAGAGCGTAAATGGAACATTGAAATAGGTCCCCCGACTCTATCTGAAGTTCAAAAGGCTATAGCTAATCTGAAATGAGGAAGAGAAGCTGGTCCAGATGGATTGGCTCCAGAGGTATTTAGGTGATGTGGTCCAATTTCAGCTGAAATCTGGTAGTTGGACGTAATCGCATCACTGGTCGCAATTACTGATTGTCCCAATATATAATAGAGGGTCAAAATCATCCTGTGACAACCATAGAAGCATTACTTTGACTAATATAGCATCTAAAATACTAGCTTCAATAATTATCGGACGCCTAACAAAGACTCGTGAACTGCAAACATGAGAAAATCAGGCTGACTTCAGACCTGGTTGTGGCTGTATTGACCACATATTCGCCATTCGTCAGGTTATAGAACACAGACATGCTTATCGGGGTCCGACAATCGTGGTCTATCTCGATCTTAAAGCAGCATTTGACTCTGTAGACCGAGAGGTTCTATGGTGGTGTCTGTCATTAAAAGGCGTACCACAGAAGTACATAAACTTTTTGAAGGCTCTTTACTCGAACACTACTAGTCGAGTCAGAGCTTATGGCGAACTGTCATCTACTTTTGCAATCTCAAGTGGTGTCCGTCAAGGCTGTCCACTTTCCCCATTTTTGTTTAACTTCGTAATAGACCTACTGATAGAAATAACGCTCTCGTCGACTGAATTTTCGTCCATTGATCTCCTACCAGGACCTCCTGGAAGGCCGGGTATCTGTCTATCAATTAACGGATGAGTATACTGCTCAGCATTTCGTTCTGTTCTTCTTTACGGCTGCGAAACGTGACCATTAAGAGTAGAAGATACTCGTAAGCTACTAATATTTGACCACAGATGGCTTAGAAATAATACTTGCATCTGTTGGGATCACCGGGTAAGTAATAGTGAGGTTAGACGTAGGGTATTAGTGAATGATGGTAAATCAGTTGATGAGA